CTAACCACAAGATCAGCAGTGGGAAACCACCGATCAATCATCAGGTGAAAGATAGGCTTTCTTCGCCTGTAAAACTTTAAGGTCTTGTAAACCCACAGAGGCGTTCCACTCTGTCCTAAACGGTCACTATGAGGAACTGACTTGATGGCACCAAGCTTTATGTGTAGGCTTTGTTTTGCTCTTGCTTTGTTCTTTTTGTTCTTTGAAAATTATCAAAATTAATACAAATGAAGCACAGTGAGAAATGCATAATGAGTATCCTCCAAATGCCCTTTTCCAAATCACTTTTCTAAGTTAAAGCGATATACACTGATTCTCTTATCACCAGAGACTTTTATATGACAGTAACTTTATTTTTCATTTTATAAACATCTTTGAGTGGGTGGTTATCACTTCCTCCCTTGCCTTACATATCATATCGTACACATTGTTCCTAGATAAAGCCTCCTAAGTTAAAGTGTCTATTGTGCTATTACCTGGTAATCAAGATTTAAGGGCAGCTACTGCCTATGGGTAAAAGCTACGCTCTTTATTTGGGCCTTTTATATTCAAGTTTCAATATATATTTCCAATATTGTTATTCACTTATTGAGGTGTTGAGTAATTTGCCCTATGTCTAGGAATTAGGGTTAGACTGATAAGAGTCTAGAGATTTCTAACTAGCGGATGATCTAATCCTTTGCTAATAGCATCACAACGTGAACTGATTTAAATGCTGTGACTCCCTCTGCTTGGAATGCCTTCAAATATCTACATGACTAAATCATGTCCACATTATCTCATCTAATTAGAATTCCAGGCTTTTTCCCAGCTAGTAAAATCTCTTTTTACTTTGGAAATGGCATCACTAATTGCTTCCTTATATTAGAGGTAATTATGTCTGTTTATTAGTCTTTGCTAGATTATCAGGTCCTTAAAGACAAGGTGCATATTTGACTAATATTTATATATTCCACAATGCTACCCTTATTTTCCTCTTTTACTGTTGTGGTGGTGGTGGTTATATGCCGTCACGCTGACTCCAGCTCACGGTGAGCCTACACACTCTACGGACGGGGTGTGAGATCTTCAGCACCCTTGCTATGCGGAGCCAGTTGTGGCAGCCACTGTGTCAACTCACTTGTTTAGGACCCTCGTGCTCACTGACCCTTTACAAAGTATGATGTTCTTCTCCAGGGACTGTTCCTACTGACAGCATGTCCAAAATATGTAAGAAAACGCTCGCAGTCGTCCCTTCTAAGGAACATGTTGGTTATACTCCTTCCACGACAGTGTAGCTTGTTCTTTTGTCAGTCCTTGGTATATTCAAGACTCTTTGCTAACACCAAAATGAAGCGCATCAGTCCTCTGCAGTCTTTATTATTCATTGTCCCATTTTCAAATATGTCTGTTGCTGTTGACAGATGCCATCAAGTTGACTCTGATGCATAGCAACCCGTGTACACCAGAACCAAACGCTGTCTGAAGCAAAACCATCCTAAAATTCATTGTCACGCTTGAGGCCATTGTTTCAGCCACTGTGGAAATCCATCTTGTTCAGGGTCTTCTTTGTGGCTCCCACTCTGCTTTACTAAGCATGATGTCCTTGAGCAGGGATGGGCCTCTCCTGATCACATGTCCAAAGTAGCTGAGACCAAGTCTCACAATCCTTGCTTCTAAGGAGCATTCCGCTTGTACTTATTCCAAGATCGATTTGTTTGTTTGTTTGGCCGTCCATGGTACTTTGAATAGTCTATGTCAGCGCCATCATTCCAACACATCATGTAATCTTCGGTCTTCTTTATTAAATGCCCGAGTTTCACTTGTAGATAAGGCAATTGACAATACCTTGGCTTGGATCAGGTGCACTGACTTCTCAAAGTAACATCTTTTCTTTCAATATTTTAAAGAGTTCTTGTGCAACCGAGCTGCCCAATGATATGCTCTGTTTGAACTCCACTGCTACTTCCTTGAGCATTAACTGTGCATCCAAACAAGACAAAATCCTTCACAGCTTCCGTCTTTTCTCTACTTCCCTATTGATGTTACCTATTAGTCCAGTTGTGAGGATTTTTGTCTTCTTAACGTTGAGTTGTAATTCAGGCTGCAATTCTTGATCTTCATCAGCAAATGCTTCAAGTCTTCCTCACTTTCAGCAAGAGAGCTTATGTCATCTGCAGATAGCTGGTTGTTAAGAAGTCTTCCTACAACATGATAATATATTCTTCTTCACATTATCAAGCATCTCTGATTGTTTGGTCAGCATACAGATTTGATTAAGTAATGTGAGAAAATACAATACTGACACACCCTTTCCTGATTTTACATTGTGCAATCTTCCTTTAGATTATTTGCACACTGCCTCTTGATCCATCTACAGGTTCCATATGAGCACCTTCAAATATTCTTGTATTTCTTTTGTCTCAAGCCAATCCATAGTTTGTTATGATCCACACAATTGAATGCCTTTGCATAACCAATAAAATACAAGTAGGCAGCTTTCTGATATTCTGTACTCCCAGCCAAGATCCCTCTGATATCAGCAATGATTCTTCATGTCATATATCCTCTTCGGAATCCAGCTTGACTTTCTGGCAGTTCCCTGTCAATGTATCACTGCCCCCATTGTTGAACGATTTTCAGCAACATTTTAATCTCATATTATATCAATGATATTGTTCTATAATTCTGCTGGATCACATTTTTTTGCAAATCGTGCAAATATGGATCTCTTCCAATCAGTTGGTTAAGTTGCTGTCATCCAAATTTCTTGGCATAAATGAGTGAATGTTTTCCATGTTTCATCGGTTGTTAAAACATTTCAATTGGTACTGCATCAATTAGTGACGCCTGGGTTTTTTGTTTTTGTTTTTGTTTTTGCCAGTGCCTTAGTGCAGCTTGCTTGGACTTCTTCCTTCAGTACCATTGGTTCTTGATCATGTGCTACTTCCTGAAATGGTTGAATGTTGACCATGTTTTTTTGGCACAGTTACTGGTGTAGTCTTTTCACCTTCTTTGGAAGCTTCCTAGATCATTCAATATTTTTCCATAAATTTTAAATATTGCAACTTGATTGAATTACTTCTTCATTTCTATCACTTTAAGGTACACTAATCGCGTTCCTCTTTTTAAGTTTTCTAACTCTAAGTCCTCCCCATGTCTGTCAGTCTGCTGGCGGCTTGTGTATAGCTATGATTCTGGAGGTTATGTCACTGGTATTTCAAATACCACTAATGTCATTAAAATAACAGTTGTCAGTGAAGCTGCCCAACTAAGAAGAGACCATGATGAGGGAATAGGCTGCCCTGTTGTAAAGAATTATCCCCTAAAATCATATGAATAAAAGTAGAACATTGCGAAATGTGTCTGAGGTAATTAAAAATGCGATAGCTGGTGTGAGATATATTTTAATCCTCTTTGCTTTTGAATATTTTTGAGGGTCTCTTACAATATATTGACTTCCGTACTGCTGTTTTAATGAGTATTTACTGTGGATACAAGTTGAATGAAATCTTAATACCTTCCATACTTTCTGTATTTATCATAGTTAGAATGGGGGGTGGGTTGTTCTCTCGATGTTGAGTCAGAATCCATACTAAAGGCAGTATGGTCTGTGATCTTCTTCTGTAAGTGCGTCGAGTCTTCCTTACTTTCAGCAAGCAAAGGTGTGTTGTCTGTGAAATCTAACATCACTTTCTTTCTTTATAAAGTACGGCTTCTTTAATTATTTACTCAGCACACCGATTTAAGAAGTATGACACTAGGATGCTCTCCTGGCATGCAGCTTTCCTGATTTTAACCAACACGATGTCTCCTGCTTTGTTCAAAGGACTTCTCTTCGTGCATGCACATGTTCTGCACGGCATCCCCATGCTTCCCAATGTTCTTCCTGATTTACTAGCACTCACCTAGTCAAATTCCTTGATGCCGTCAATAAAATGCAGGGGCGGGGGGAACCGATAAACCAACTTCTAATTAGAAATATTCAAGCCTTGGAAGTTTTCCCCTTCTCTATTAGGGACAAGAAGAAGAAGAAGAACTTTCTTTCCTTTGTCTTAATAAAGTGATAGGCAAGACACCCAAGCAGTCACGTCTTTTTCTCCAGGGAGGAAGCTTGAGACACTGTGTCTTCTATATTCCACACAAATCACCAAGACAAAGCTTAACATCCTTAGGATGCTCAATATTTACTAGCATAGACTTTATTTATTTCTACAGAGTTTGATGACTTATTAGGAAGTTGAATGCTTTCTAATCACAGGATAACAATTCTTCAATTGTGATTTTTCCTTCAAGGGTACTAAATGTGTACTTTCTTGGCTTGTCCTTGTTATCTAAAGATCTAGTTAAAGAATGAAGCAAATGTAAAATAATCAAATGAGAAATATCTACTGACTGCCTACTGTAACATATATAGGTGAGTATGATGGGTATTTGAATAGTGATCAAAAGAGAAGAGGAATCAAAGGTTAATAAAGAAGTTAGAGCGTATTAAAGAAACATGTGGATATGTCAGGCCTTTATGGTTTTAAAATATTGCCCACTTAATTGTATGTAAACTTGAAAGGTCCCTTAATCTCATAACCAGGTTTATCACTTGAAACATAAGCTATGTTTCAATGACATCCAGATATCTCTTGGGTAGAAATTTCCTCTGAAATCCAGCTTCCTACTCATTGGTTCTCTATGATTATGCAATGTACAGTACAAGTGATGACCAAAATTTAACTACTCATATTCCTTCCGAAGCCTTTTTCAGCTCATAGTCCCTCCATTATCGAAATCCATCCATATCCTTCCCATTTCTCAGCATCTTCACAGTTAAAATCCTAGTCCAAGTCAGCAGTATCTATTGTGTGGAGCATACAATATCATAATAGTTGGTTTTCCTGAATGTCTATATTCCCTAAAAATATCCAAAATAACCTTCTAAAATGGAAATCCCTGTAACGCATCTTCCCAAATTCCTCCATAGGCTTATTCTTTCACAGAGTGTAAAAACTACATGCCTTTCGAGAGGGTGTGGCTCGGCGGGAGCTGCGGGCCCGGAGCTGGTCTCATAACATGGACAGTGAGGTGCAGAGAGATGGAAGGATCTTGGACTTGATTGACGATGCTTGGCGTGAAGACAAGCTGCCCTATGAAGATGTTGCAATACCTCTGAACGAGCTTCCTGAACCTGAGCAAGACAATGGTGGCACCACAGAATCTGTTAAAGAACAAGAAATGAAGTGGACAGACTTGGCCTTACAGTACCTGCATGAGAACATGCCCCCCATCGGAAACTGACACCTGGCTCCTTGCTCGGGCAGTATGTGTGTGTGCGCAAGTGAGTGTGTGTGTGCACTCGCGTGTATTTCTAAAAGCTTTCTAACTAAAATCTCTTAGTAAGAAATCAACACCTAAAAATGCATCCCCACGTCGATTGTGGCAACAAAGTAAAATGTGGAAATATTCACTAGGAACTCAAGCTAAGTGAGATTTCCCAAGAATGTGAAATATTTGGCTCTTTGCGCCTCGAACTCTTCATCCAGTGGTGGGTGTTTGAACATGATTGTTAAACATTTGCCCTTAACTCTGATTTTGTCTTCTCGTCCGGGTTTGACACTTTCTCGTAACTTTTATGCGTCCTGTGCTACAAGAGGATTGAGGATAGAGTGAGAAAGGCAAAGGAAGCCAGACACCAGTGATTAACTTCTCATGGACTCCTCTAGAGAAGCATCCTGAGTGGAGGGGTGGTGTGTACTTAGCCTTCGTGCATGGATAGGTTTAATTGTGGGCATCTGTTACACATCTGGAGATACCCCACTCACTGATGACTGTGACCCCTAAATTTCCCCATGTGGTTTCAAACTATGGAGAAATTCTCAGATTAAAAAATCATCTACTCCTCTCAAAACAAAAACAAAAAAAAAAAAACTACATGCCTTTCAATGGCCTTTGGACCCATTGCCTGTGCTTTTGACCCTTGTCTCTTAGACCTCGTCTCCTAATATTTTTCCTGATACTTATTTTTACCTTCAAATGAAATAGTCTTTTCTCTGACTAGTCTTGGTACCTGGAACTCACTTTCTCTATACAGGAAGTAAAAAATACCCTTCACTAGATGAATATTCATTTTTTCAAGGATCCTTGTCCTGGCTAATTATTCTGTTTAACATGTCATTTACCTTTCTTTTTTCTTTCCCCCTCTTCACACTCCTAATTCTCCTTGACTTGTTCTAGTCATTTTCTCTATAGCACTAAGTGTCTTATATCCCCCTGTTATTTAATACTTGTATTTACTTATTTATTATCATTTATTGCCTGTCTCCTTATCACTTCCTGAGCATAGGAGTGATATTCTTTGATCTTATTTTTGATCCATCACAAGAGCCTAAAATAATGTACAGCACAAGCTTAACGTTCAATAAATGAACAAACATAGCTACTCTTCACATTTGTCCTTGTGCACAGACCCATTCAGTGGGAGTTCAATATGATTCTTTAACTTAACATTGACCCTTGAGTATATGAAAATTAATTCTACCTGTGCAAATATATATCAATTTACAATTAGAATATTTGAAATTCATTTGCTTTTTGACATGAAGTAAATTGGAAATGGACAATGGAAAACAATTTGCTTTTTGATGTGAAGAAACTGAGTTCCAAAGACATAGCCATGCTATTCTGAAAGCACAAACAGGAGAAACCATATTTCCCACCTCAATTTCTTAGGAAGTTTCCCCCTTAAGCGCAGTTGTTGGAAATCTTAAAAAGAGGCCAACCCACTGAGAAGGTGGCATTTTTATAAAAATAGGCACACCTCTTACTTACCAAATTTGACCATCTGGGAAAGTTTGGCCCTTCCCCTGTAATGAATGGTAGGCTCAGCCCTATCACTAGCTTTTATCAATGTAACATGAATAGAAATGACACTTGTCACTTCTAAGTTCAAGTTGTAAAAGCTGTCATGTGCTTTCATCACTGTTCATATTCCCTGAGCCATAAGGGCATCAGTTTGTCCAACCCTGGATCCTGGCCTGGTAAAGCTATAAAGCAGAGCCAAAATTGACTCTGGAGCAACATGAAATGTGAGTGAGAAATAAGGCTTTATTATGGTCAGCAGAGATAATAGACTCTATAAACTCACAGTTAATGAGTAAAGATTCAGAAGGGAAAAAAAATCCAAAGTCTTGCTATTAAGCACACACACACAAAAAAAATCCAAAGTCTTGCTATTAGGCACAAAGTTTCCTTCCCCAATACCATAAGATACTGCCTCCCTCCCCCTAAAAAATCCTTTAAGTAAAAGCTCCCAAGATATAGGAAGTACACTGGCCTCTATCCATTTCATTATAAATTAATATATTACATATATACATGCCAATAGCTATACCTCTATAAATAACTTTTGCCTCCTACTTCTTTCCTGTATTTCCTTTCCTCTTCCTTCTGTCCCACTATTATGCTCACCCTACATTTTGTTCTCAGTAATTCCTCTTGGATACTTTGCATTTGATCAAACCCAACCAGCCAGTATACCTCCTCCCCAACAAATTTAGATCTCTTGTTCCCTTATCCCTGAGTTTGTTGGTTCCCCACTCTACCTCCCACCCCTTCCTCTCCCATGTCCCCTCAGGAGCAGTTGGACTTTGGGTCTCTACTCAGGCCTCCCTAAACCCAAGAACACTTTGTTCTAATAACCTGGCATTCCTTGATACTCACCTTCTTGACATGATCACTGAAGACAAAATGGGTGCATAAGCAAATATGAAGAAAGTGGATGGTCCCTGGCTATCAAAAGATATAGCACCTGGGGTCTTAAAGGCTTGAAGTTAAATAAACAGACATCCAGTAGGGAAGCAAATAAGACCACCTGGAAGAAGCACACCAGCCTGTGTGATCATGAGGAGGTATCAATCGGACCAGGTACCAGGTATCAAAAGATCTAAAACAAACAATTATATCAATGCGAAAGAGAGGGCTTAGAGTAGAGACCCAAAGTCCATCAGTAGACAATTGGACATCCCCCCACAGAATGGTTACAAGGAAGGGACAATTCAGCCAGGGTACAGAATAGCATTGAGGAAACACACACACATCATTCTCTAATACCTGACTGCTTCTACCTCCCCACTACCAAGACCCAGTTCTACCTTACAAATGCGGCTAGACCAGAGTACACAGATTGGTACAGATACGAGCTTTCCACAGATAAAACTCCCAGGAACCGTAGTGGGAGTACGGATATCATGAGGGTAGGGTTGGGGTAGGGGGGAGGGGAAACCATCACAATGTTGGATATATAACCCACTCCCCAGCGGGACAAATAAAAGATGTGGATGAAGTGGGAGACAATGAGCAGTGTAAGACATGAAATACCAACAATAATATATAATTGATCAAAGATTCATGAGGGTAGCAAGGTGGGGGAGGGAGGGGGGAAAGAATAGAAAGGAGCTGATATCAAGGGCCCACGTAGAAGCAAGATGTTGTGGAGATGTTGATGGCAACATTTGTACAAGTGTGCTTAATACAATTGAAAGATGAATGTTATAAGATTTGTAAGAGGCCCTCAATAAAACGATGAATAAAAACAAAGATCTAGGAAGTGATTGATTGTTCAGATAGTAGCTGAACTTCAGAAATCAGCATCCCTTTTCTCTCCAGTGCCCTGCTCAGACTTGCCAAGGAGCTAAGTGCAGGTCTGTGAGGGACTTCTGACTAATCACAGATGGCCCAGTCAGCAACTCCCATCATGGGTGGTCAACGCTTTGGTTTTGTTTGCTTTGCAATATGTTTGAACATTGCCAGCTACAATTTTTAAACTCTTCTTTTCCCTTTCAGCCAAACCAATTCCAAATGTTTGGAATGCTTAATTGTGAAGAGAGTTTTTTTTTCTTGTATAAAAAAAATAAACATTTTGGAGAGCAGTGAGATTTATCTCCTGACTTCAGTGACGGAGAAGGAAAACCTGCACTCCTCCTATCATTCCGTAGAATTCACAGTTTTCTTGAATTTTGGGGGATGACTTTCACATGCAAGATTTTGTTTTGTTTGGTTTTTGCTGCTGTTCTTAGTGTCGTGGAGTTGATTTTGACTCGTGGCTACCCAAGGTGTGCAGAGAAGTACTGTCCCATAAGGTTTGCAAGGCTGGGACACTTTGCAAACAGATTGTTAAATCTGTCCGGGCCCAGTTCATATGAGGAGGTGAGAAGATCCATTCTTCAGGCTAATAGTGGAGCATTTAACTATTTTCACATGTACAGAGGCTTAAGTTACGATGGAAAGTAGCTTGAAATCATCTTTAGGAATCCTCTTAATCACGTGTAGCATTACTAACTGGATGGTGGTCGTGATTCCAGTTCTCTCCTCCCTGTCTCGGTGCCCTTTGCCATAGGCACCATTAGGAATGCTTTCAGATTTCCGGTGGGACATACTATCTACCTCCTAATTTCCTGGGAACTTTGGTCCATAGCATAAAGAAGTCCTGGGTGTCAGCTCTCCATCTAAGCTTAAGAAAACATATTTATTCATTTGTTCTGAAGCTTTGCTTTTCCTATGAGGAAAATCTGCCCAGACTTGCCTCGTGAACCAAATAGGAGGCCAGGGAGAGGGAAAATGCATAAGCCATCTCTAGGCAAGTCAAGCTTATATTTACCCACCCCTGACGAATCTACATTTTCCTGAATTAAATAAATTTTGAAGGTTGATTGTTTCTGATATGGTATAGTGTATATTCACTTGTTGCGGTTTTGTTGTTGTTGTTGTTGTTGTTGTTGTTGTTGGGTGCCTTTGAGTCGGTTCTGACTCATAGCGATCCTATGTACAATAGAACAGCCTTGTGCCATCCTCAAAATTGTTCTTATCTTTGAGCCCATTGTTGCTGTCACCGTGTCAATCCATTATAACAAGGGCCTTTCTTTTTTCCCTGCCCCTCTGCTTTACCAAGTATGATGTCCTTCTTCAGACACTGGTGACACCTGACAAGATGTCCAAAGTACATTTGATGAGATCACCACATTCTTGCCTCTCCAGAGCAAGGAATCACACATCTTCTAGGCCAGATTTGTTTGTTCTTTCAGTAGCCCATAGTACTTTCAGTATTCTTCATCAGCAAGATAATTCAAACACATTGATTCTTCTTTAGTTTTCCTTCTCCCATGTCTCACTTTTACATGCATATGGCTATTAAAAATACCATGACTTGAGTCAGGCACATCTCAGTTCTCAACGTAACATCTGTCCTTTTCAGCACTTTAAACAGGTCTTTGTGCAGAGTTGCCCAATGCAGTGCATTGTTTGATCTCTTTCTACTGCTTCTGTGAACATGATTGTGGATCCAAGGATGACACAATCCTTGATAACTTCAACAATATCACATTATTACCTATTGGTTCCCTATTATGAGGATTTCCGTCTTCTGGATAATGTGTTGTAATCTATAGGGAAGGCTCTAAGCCCTGATCCTTATCAGCAGTGCTTTAAGCCCTCACTTTCAGAAAGCAAGGTTGTGTCATCTGCACATTGCAGGTTGTTCTCCAATCTTGAGGTCCCTTTCCTCGATAGTCCATCTTCTCTGATGATTACTCAGCA